TTTTACCAAAATTTTCTAAAGTTATCTTCAACTTTTGAAGGAATAATCTCGCAGCAATTTAAGCATCTATATCTGCCATTAATAGATTCATAATTTAGATCAAATACTACTTTGTTAGCGTGATTGTTGAAGACATAAGCATATGCTCAGTTTCGAGATTAATACTCGTATGAAATTAATTTATAAATTATGATAGTTATGTCGAGAGATTCATGAAAGAAGAAAAATATATTAAATTGATTTCACAATAAAGAATGAACAAAGAAAGTAGAAAGAGGTTGAATTGTACTTAGGGAATGTGTAATATTAATACTTATGAGGTTGGTTAAGCGGTTAAGAATGTTTGTTCTTTTTATTGATTTTTTTGGGTTCGAATTTTAAACTCACGTGTCACATTTGTGACTTAATTTGGAACATTAGTTTTGTAAGGTATTTAATGGGTCCAGAAAATTAGTCAAAATGCGCACAAACTGATAATAAAAAATAAAAATAAAAATGTGCAATATTAATTACTTTCAGGTTTGGCCATTTGGATGCCCGAGAAGCACCCCAATTCAGGCCCTGACGTAAGCCCCAATCAGAAATGGAAACACAGATTTAATTTATTATGATCACTCAACTATTATGTTTATTTGTTTATTTATATATTTAAATTATTGTACTCTTAGGTGACAAAACATAAATGGATGGCCTGCGTTTAACGTTACAATTAATATTAGGTTGCATGCATTTATAACTATACGTATACTCAAGCAAATCTATGTGGTTTGTACATTATGTAATTGTACAATTAGTATTGAAATTTATAAATCAAGTGAAGGTGTAGGCGACTTCAGTAAGTGTAGAAGGTTGTTGTTATCCTACTTTTTTTAATTTTATCATTATTAATCTAACCATATACACAACTATACAAGCAATCGAGATGTATTTGATTAAGTTGCAATAGAATTTAGTTGGGAAAATAAAATTTTAACATATTGATTTACATTTAATCAACTTAACTTAGATGGATAAGAAGAAAAAAAAAGTTGACCATCATAAAATTGAATTAATGTAGTAGAACAACCCATTAATTTTTTTTAGACTATCGCCATTTATATATAAATAATTTCAACTAAACATAAAGTTATGTAAAATGTTGTGTCCCAAAGTCTTACATTGAATAATTAAAAGAAATCTCATGTTTCACAAGAAACAGTGATCACTCCCCTTAACAACTCTTATTGATTTGGATGCCAACTGTGCTACTGTGTTCCCTATCTTAAAAGGACTAGTCCTTTCATTTCTGATACTGGAATGTAACAGCGACTTACAACCGCAGCAAAGTAGTGTGAACACCCATGGATTACTTTCGATATTAAATATTGAGGGAAAACTTGTGTATGAAGAAATCATAAGAGCTAGAAATGGTTTTGATCCTGGATATTGTATCGGTAGTTGTGGGTTTGGAAGCGTTTATAGAGAACTACAACCATCAAGGGACATTTTATCTATTAAGAAATTTCACTCACATCTCATAGAGATGAGAGATCAAGTGTTCTCAAACGAAATAAGGGCGTTAACAAGATACAATATCGAAATATTGTTAACAAGTTTTGCTCACATTGCTCGACACTCGTTTCTTATTTATGAATGCCTTGAAAGGGCTAGCTTGGCCACAATCCGGAGAACTGAAGCAAAAGCAAAAGAACTGGGTTGGAGGAAGAGAGTGAATGTTAAAGGAAGGTATAGCTCAAGCACTATCTTACATGCACCATGATTGCTCCCCATCAATTATCCATCGAGACATATCAAGCAAGAATGTATTGTTAGATGCGAAATACGAAGCTCATGTTTCAGACTTCGGAAGAGGAAAATTTCTCAAGCCAGACTCATCCAATTGGTCTGAACTTGCAGGACATATGCATATGTTGCGCTAGGTATGAAATTCTTTCATTTTCATCTTTTATTATCAACTAATCTGCACAATATAGATGTTACGTAATCATATGCATCTTTCATTTGCAGAGCTTGTGTATACAATGAATATTACTGAAAAATGTGATCGATGTCTATAGATTTGGAGTGCTAACATTGGAATAATCAGATCCAGGAGATTTTCTAACCTAATTTTTGTCATTGTCTTCCAATGTGAATTTAGCTCTTACTAATATGTTGGATGCACCACTTGAAACTCCCTTTCTTGATGTCCATGACAAACTCATATCCATCATGGACGTTGCCTTTTCTTGCTTAGATTCCAATTCGGAATCTAGACCAACCATGCAGATTGTTTGTCAACGATTATGCAACTAAGCTTCTTGTTCTTCACCAGGTTGTCATCATACACCAAACTATATATGTATATTGAGTATATTAATTATTAGTTATCTTGCCAAGTTCATAAGACATAAATTTGGGGGAAATTAAGCTACTGGCGATGACTCTGATGACTACAAAGAACTAGACCTACTTGATGGATGAGGTTGGGCTAATGAAAGTTGATTTAGTTGAGCTAATCCATGAGCGCCATCTTGAAGTTAAGGTGTTAGAATTATCTTATCATTTATTTAAGGAGGTTAGCCATGCAATTAAAGGATAATCATTGCACATTTCTTTCTGGGTGGGGGAGAACTTATATCTCTGGATTTCACTTTTTTGAGTTGTCAGGGACAGTAGTGTATTCTATTCTTTGTTTGTGTCTTAGTAATTGGCTTGTTGAACAGGAGGGGATTAGGAACCTGATTTAGATGTTAGAGACAGTGCTGATGAATGAAAATGAATTGTGGACCTCTGCACTTGCTCGTGTTGAGAAATATAGAGATATGAGAAGGGAAATGGATAAGAAACTTGATAGTCAATATTTGCACAAAATGTAGGATCTGATCTACTCATGAAGAATGGCTTATTTTTGCAGACGGAAGTGCAGGGTGTACAAAACACGCATGGCCTGGAAGGAGGTTGGACGTGGCTTGCAAGATTCTTAAACGCTCTACCGGCTAACATATACACTGATGTTGCAGTGAATGCATTCCTGCAGGCAAGTTGCTTATGCATACTGGTCGTTTTCTCTCGGCTATTGGGTTGGTAATGTCTGGTTATTCTTATGAATGATATTGAAAATCCAGGGTGTGAAAACGAATTTTATGTTCCACAGATGGCAAGTTCTTTCGCAAATACAAATCCCAGTTTCGGAAGGTGCTCGACATGATAAACAACTTTTTGAAGGCACTGAGAGCCCGAGAAGATTCAAAGCTGAAGCCAGAGATTCAATCTTAGAAGATAAAAAAATTCCTGGAGAAACCTGAAGGGAGGACTTTGCAGGATTCTGTACTGTCAAGTAAAATGGTTCTGGATCCATAATAACAGGAGTCCTACAATAGATGGCAATACTATTGACAAAAATTTATTGTGATGGGAATATGTAATTCAGCCTAAAATTGTTATTTACAACGTTCTGTCCTAGTGCGACTAAATATAAACATCCCTAGGTTTAGTGAATGTATAATCTCATACCCTCGATTTTGTAAAACCATTAATATTTTGACCCATTGTTAATCTCCAATCTTATACTCTCAGTTTGGAAAACCATTAATATTTCACCCATTGTTAATCTCCGTTTATGCATTCTACCCAATAACAATGATTCAGTCAGACACTACAATGAGTAAATTGCCCTTACTTTTCCATTACAACCCGTGGGTATCTAACCTGTTGTCTGCTGAGTGTTTTCTGTCATCCTTAATTAACAAGTAGCAGCCATGTCCTCATCCGTGATTCGTGAACTCGTTTAATATTGCTAGTTGACATGTAAAATACGTTGTGTTGGGTTGGCCCAATACGGACAGTAAATTATGCTAGCCAGGCCGAAGCATGATTAGGGGAAAAAACAAAAAACAAACTTCCCCCATGACCCCCCAAAGCCAAATGGGCTCAATAGGCAGACACGACGCCAGGACACAAAGGGCTAACAAGAATGAGTTTCCATGAATGGTTTTATTTGGGCTGCACAAAATATATGTGAGCTAGACATTCAATTTTCAATTTTTTTTTAAGAAAAATTACATTAATTTTTCTTTTTACTTTGACATAAGTTCCCAGTTAAATTATTGAACAATTTTATATTATTTTTTTAAAAGAAATATATATAATCATAAAATAACTTTTTAAAGAAATAATTTATGCATTTAATAATTTTTCATTAAAGTAGTATACAAATAATTGGATGAACGTTGCATCATTGTAATTTGTATATACCACTAGGTTTGACACTACCCATTAGAACAATTAATGGTGAAAAAAAAATAAAATTTAGTTACCTTAATTGAACTTAGTATATAACTAAAGAAGTAAGACAACAAAAAAAAAAAAAAAGTAATGTAAATACAATATAATTTAATAAAAAATAAAACTTAAAAAATTTTAAAAATTTTAAAAATAAACAGATCATACCAAAACAACCCTTTTCGATCATGCCAAGACCGACCTATTGGTGTTTCATGTTGGCATGGTCCAAAATTTGAAGCCTAAACCCTAAGGGATTGGTCCGATGGTCAGATAATTTACTTCATTTATTGATTTTTGAGATTCAAACCACCTTGGGATCATCTACCACATCTGTAACTTACTAAGAACATTGGTTTGTACTATTGATAGACTTCGAAAATTAGTTGAATTGTGCGCATATAGTTTTCTAACACTATTTCCGTTAACTTCTACTATAATTTGACACATTTTATGACATGATTATCGATTAGAGTAAACGTGGTTGAACATCACTACTCACATTATTTTTACTTTTACCATGTCACTTTAACATAAAACACTCCACAAAATTCTTAAATTTTAGTTATATTCCTTATTTCTCTAAATAATTTAAATATCAAAAAAAAATTAAAATATAAGTATGAAAAAAGGGAGAAAAATACCTTTAAATCAATAATGAATCCACTTCCTGCGCGGTATGTCTTAATGCCAGCTTGACACAACACACCATAACGTCTTCATTCATTCACCCACTCGTTAAGACAACTTTCCCCTCCTCTCTCTCTCTCTTTCTGTGTCCTTCGTCCATCAAAACGACACCAGATCATGTCGTCTGACGACGAAGGCGGCGAGGAATACCTCTTCAAGGTCGTCATAATCGGTGACTCTGCCGTCGGCAAATCCAACCTCCTCTCTCGCTATGCTCGCAACGAGTTCAATCCTCACTCCAAGGCCACAATTGGCGTCGAGTTTCAGACGCAGAGCATGGAGATCGACGGCAAAGAGGTCAAAGCTCAGATTTGGGACACCGCCGGTCAAGAACGGTTCCGTGCCGTCACTTCTGCGTACTACCGCGGCGCTGTCGGTGCTCTCGTTGTGTATGATATTAGTAGGAGAACTACTTTTGATAATGTCGGTCGGTGGCTCGATGAGCTCAAAAGTAAGTTTGTTTTGCTTTTGTTTTGGTTGGATTGTTGTGGTGGTTTGGAATATTAGATCTAGAAAAAAGGTTTTTCAAATTTAATTAACTATGATCTGTGGTGAAAGATTTGGCAAAGTGAAATGACATTTCCTTAAATGTCAAGTTAAGTTATGATGATTATTGCACAGACTTGAGTTAGAAGAAAGCAAGAAAAAAAAAAGTTGAAAAGACTTGGTTTTTTGTTACTTCTTTTTGTGGAGTTTGTGTGTGTTAGTTTAGTGGTTGTCCATTTGTGCTAATACTTTTTTTATTTTTTTTTATTTTTCTTTTTCATCCTCGTGGTTTGTCTATTGATTCTGTGTGTGTCATTGTTTCGAACTACTATTTCAATTTTTGATATTGCATTGGACGATGATTTGATATTTTCTGAGTGTGTTACAATGATTATTATTTATGTATTTAAAGAATATGGTATGGAATTCAATGGTTCAGCAAATTGTTTTTCTTTATATACTTCTTTTTTAAATGAATTTTGACTGGGAAATTTTGGTAGAAATTTGTGGTAGTTGTTATTTTTTTATGATACCAACCAACTTTCGTTTTAGGGTGTTATAAATGGTCAACGTACTATACGTCTTCCAGACAGTTATTGGTCTCTGTAAATGTGTTGTGGGGTAATGAGTACTATATATCTGGTGTCAAATCTTATTCAGAAACTAAGACAGTTATGTAACAAGGCAAGATAAATCTGAAGCATTTCCAGCCTTTAGCATTAGATAGATTGCGCAAGATTCAATGTGATCTAACCTTTGAATTGACTGCTCACTGTGAGCTTTACTAAATTGAACACATTATAACCTGGTAAGGTGTTCTGTTGTTGTCTCTTTTGTGTTAGATCTGGATTTTTCACCTTTCACTTTAAGGCAGATATGGATGTGTAGAGGTTGAAGTTAACGTGATTTCATGACCTTTGATGTAAACAACAATAAAAGGAGCTGATTTGCTTTTCTTAACAATGGTATTTTCATGTGGAATCTGCCACATCAATTCAAGTATTAAACCCAAGATTGAGTTTCCTTTACTGTAGGGTAAATTGTTTGATTAGATTCTTTATTANTCATAATTTCACTGAGGAAAATTTCTGTCATCATATTTTCAATTATAGTTTGTTTCTTTTTTCAACTGAATTTTTGGCCTTTTGGTGACATTAGAAAGTGATGACAATTTCCAGATTGCATGTTAAATTGATGAAAATATGGCTGGAAATGTATATACATTTGATATAACTTATTGTTTATGGATAATTATCATAATAATTTTGAGAAAAAAAACTTCGAAGCTAACCTATCCCAATATGAATGGAGGCTGAGGGAAATTATAGACTAAAATAAGGACTAGCTACTTTTCTCTGAACTCAACACTGAATGGTAAGCTTGATAAAAAAAATACACTCAATATTACTTAATGTCGAGAGTTTAATATCAGCCTGTGTTACTGTTACCTTGATCCATATATACATACAATAATGCTACGGACACCGGGATTTGACACCGAAATCTTACACCGGCCTACGTGTCTTGTGACTCACACCATACACGTTTTACGTTATTAAATTTTTTTCTAGTGAACGGCAGTTCATCAATTATGGACGGTCGTTCACTTACATGGACTTTCATCCATATTATATGGACGGGAGTTCATTTACTATAGATAGACGTCTCCATTTAAAGAACGCCCATTTATCAGTAAATGAAATAAAAAATATATACAAAAATTAGGGACGACCGTTCATAGGTTATGGACGGTTGTCCCTAAAGATTGGATGGGCGTTCATATTTTAATGGACGCTCGTCCATTAACAATCGTTTTTAAAAATTAAAAAACATTTAAGGACGGCCGTTCATCAATTATGGACGGCTGTCCCTTAATTTTCGATGAGCACCTGCAAATAAGGGACGCCCGTCCATAATGTAAATATAAAAAAAAAAAAAAAAAAAAAAAACTTTGGACGCCCGTCCATAATGTAAATATATAAAAAAAAAAAAAAAACTTTGGACACCCATCCATAACTTGTGGATGGGCGTCTCTAACGTGTGGACGAGCGTCCGTAAGGAATGGACGCCCGTCCATAAGGAATGGACAGCTGTCCATAAATAAGGGACGACCGTCCTTTAGTGTTACACAGGCGTCCGCACTATAATTAAAAGAAAAATTTTAAATATATTAGGTTAAAAAATTTTGGGGGAAGTTTTTAAAATCAAAACACAGTCGCGGTCTTCTTCTTTGTCTTCCTTATCTGCGCTCTTCTTCTTCTTGGAAGTTCTCATCTGCCGCGCTCTTCTTTTTCGTCGAAGATCCTTATCTGCCGTGGTGATTCTTCAAGTTCCTCATCTGCCATTGGTAATTAGTCACTTTGGTTTCTCAAATTTATTTATTTATTTATTTTTTTATGTTGGATGAATGTGTTGGATTTGAAATTTGTGTTGAATGGCGTTGAGTTGATAAAGAGAAATCCAGTCAATTTGGTGAGACAGGTTTGTGTGATTGATAAATAGAAGTGTTCTGTTTTGAGTGTTTTTGGCTTGGAAAAAGCTTACATTTTTGTTGGTTGTGTGATCTGCTCTCTTTGAAAGTCCTTTGTATAAGCTCTTATGAATGGTGCACATTAGTGGCATTTTGGTTCCTTTACCTGTAGTTTTTAATTTTAAATAAAGTACATATTTTAAGAGATTCAATTTTTGAAGGAAGAATATTAGTGGAAATTTGAAAGTGTATTTTAAATACTTCGAATGCTTTGTATTATGCCTCATTCTAGTTTATTTTAAATACTGAGAATTTAAGAATCACAATGAAAGGAAAATAGATATATATATTGCTTCAATTGCAAATCTATGGTCATATGTCTTCTTGCATTTTTTTGTTTTTATAAGAATTTCATGTGGCAAATTGTTGTGTTTCAAGTTCTGTAGCCAATTAGATCTAGGTTGGTGCATGCACTCAATAAGTTGAAGCTTGTAAATAGATTAGTTCCATAAAATTAAGTTGGTCCTAATGTTGATGAACCCTTTCTTGCATCTAGTTGTTTCCTATAAAAAATAAAATAAAATAGAAAGAACCCTGTCTTGCGTCTCCCCTATATCCAGTGGACTTTTCCTAATGTCTTAACTACCTTTTTCAACGTTTAGCACACCTATGGTCTGATATATATATATATATAAACACAAAATGATCTACAAAGGTCTTTGCAGTTAGAGTAATTTCTTGTGGTAAAAAGCTTGAGAAAAGTTACAAGACCTAATCAACTTATACAACCAAAGAAATCCAAGCCAATTCTGGAAAGCCTAGCGAGTAAAGGATCATGGGCACAGTAAATGAGTAAGAGCCATGAAATGGAAAACTTGGAGTGATATGTTGGAATCAAATGGAAGACTCCTTATAAGCACTAAAAGAGTATCATTCAAATATGGTGACATATGAAGTTTTGCTTGTAACATATTCCAATTGCTTCTTGGTCTTATTGTCTTTTCCATTGTTTATCTAATCATTTATTTTTAATTTCTTGGATTAAGGTTCTAATGAAAATGTTTGATTTCATATTGAAAACCTAATATAAATTTAAATTAGTTTAATTTTTATTTTATATTGAAAACCTAATATAAATATAAATTAATTTAATTTTTAAAGTAGTTAAAGAATGCGAACAAGACAACATCAAGTTAATAAAATTTAATCAATGAGATTGATTAAGATATTAACTCTTATGTCATTTGTCCATAATTTCACAAATGGTTAATAGCTTTGTTGCTAGTAGAGTTTATGCTCATTTTTTTCCCTTCATAAGCTATCAGTCCATTGTAATAGACAGTCTTAGAATGCATATGAAAGTGTACTGGTGCTGTTCCATTTTAGTTGTTGCCATCATTTCCTGCACATGTTTGGAGGTTTTATATGTAAATATTATTGGTGGTCAGACCACGATCCTAATGTGGTCTGTTTATATCTTTTCTCTCTAGATGGAATCATGATGTTGTCATCCTATTGAATGAATTCATGATTATGTATTAAATATTGCAATATTAGCATTTGAAATGATATTAATGGTAAAAGCTAAGAGGATTTTAGGAAATTTTATAGTTCTATATTGTTATGATAAATATAATAAAAGAACAATTATGTGGTATGCAGGCCACCACCAGTTATATCAATTATTGGTATCTTGTTAGAATTGATGTGGTGGCATCTGTATGTAATTTCATTTATGAGAAAATCTTTTACAAAAGCTATGAAAAATGATGGCCTTATTCAAAGCTGAGCCTTATCTCTTTAATTTAATCCAATTTATGCTTATATGTTATCGGTTGGTTTATTAGGTATCCATATATGTATTAGCATTCCTTTTCTGTAATTTTTTTTTTTTCTTTTTGTTTTCCACATTATATGTGATGAGATAGTTAGCGCATTTTGTTTTTGACATTGGCAGATGATGTAGAGAAATGGTATGAAAATGATCATAATTGAATTTTGAGACATAGTTAAGTAAAAAATGTTAGTGATGAATAGGGACATGCTAGTTTATCATTTTGTGTTTCACAAAGATCTGGGAATATGTATAACTTCTATATACTTGGATTCAGTATCTTAAGAATATAGAAACTTGTGGGGGCATGAGATGTGTAAATTTGACAGTTTATTATTTGGAATTTGTCATTTATATTTTGGGCAATACTTTGAAAGCTAATTGACAATCTGTTTAGGTTTGACAGATTATGATGATAAATTTTTTATGTTTACAGGTTTTAGAAGAAAGCAGAAAATGGTGAGAGCAAAAAATACAACCATTCTTTATGAAGGCACATCGTCATCTACAATCCAATTTCGAGACTTGTGACATAAAAAATAATACGAGGACATGTCGAAAAGAGATATTTGTCTTGGAAGAAGTTTGGATTTAGGACTTCTAATAAGTTTAGGTTTAGGTGATGAAATGAATGGTTGGATTAATAATTTGAAATGGGACTAGTTGGTCAGTATTAGATATGATGGATATAAGCATTTGATCTATGAGTTTTTTGGTAGTTTGGAAGTTGTGGAGACAGATACTGATGAGTTTCCAGCATATACAATGTTTTTTAGATTAAAGAATCAGAACTTTGTAGTGAGACCACAAGATTTAGCAACCTGGATAGAAGGTTTGGAAAACGTATCTAGAACCTAAGATTCCAAACAAACTTGGATTGATGTTTCCAGGATAGAGA